ATATACAGACACAGAGCAAAGACCTGTTTAGTAAAGCGTTCATTCATAGGCCATGAAAATTTCATATATTCAAGAGTACATATAAGAATCAACATAAGGGGGTTGGAGAGATGGCTGTGGCTAAGAACACTGGCTGTTCTTGCAGAAGATTCAGGTTTGAATCCCAGCACCCACATGGCAGCTAACAACTGTCCATAACTCCAGTGCCAGGGGATTCGACAGCCTCTTCTGTCCTCCATGGGCACTGCATGACATGGGTGCACTTACCTACATGCAGGCAATACACAAGTACACATAAAATAATAGTAATAATAATAATAATGATAATAATAATAAAGGAATCAACATAATGTTGTTTCTGAATCACAGTCTTGAGAGTTATACACGTGGATAATATAGTGCTAGGGACTGGATACATATTTTGAAAATAGTTTGCTTTCATTTATCCATTTATTCATATGTTCCTTTAATAAATGTTTGTTGAACACTCGCCAGGTTCAATACATGCCCAGCAGTGTTAAATACTATTGCTAAGAAAGTAAACAAAGTGAATATATGCTCTCCTAATTGTAGTGTGTGTACAAATGCCAACCCAAGTAACAATAAAGCTATATCTGTGATATAGGCTACAAAGAAAAAGAGTGATACAAAAGCAATCGGAGACTAAGCAATTGCAGTCTCATTTGAGAAGACATGAAACCTGAGTCCTGAAGAAAAGTAGGAGTAGTTAACCAGGTTTCCAAAGTGGGGCAGAGCACTCCAGGCAGGGTGACCAACCTACATGAATACTACTGGGAAGATGGGCAGAGCACACATTTCAGAAGCAGAGAAAGGTCAATGTGTCTGAAATGTGATGAGGGGGGAAAAGAAAAGAGTGAGCTGAGGCTGGGGAGGTACACAAAAATATAAACAACAAAGACTCCGCTAATCATAGAGCACATTCTGGACACAGAAGCAGCTTGCAGAGTAGTAGTGGATAGGATACAAAGAATGAGACACTGTCTCCAAAAGAAAAGGCCAGTGCTCACCTTCATCCCAACACTTTGCAGGCTTGCTTAGACTGGAGGATCAGAAATTCAAGGTCAACCTGGGATGCATGAAATGCTATCTCAATAAAATGAAAAAAAAAAAAACAGAAAGATTAATATGACCAAAGTTTAGAGTTTAGGTAAGAAATAGGGAAGGAGGCTGGTTAGGTAGACAACCAGGAAGAGTCTTGTAGTCATGAAGAAGTGTTTTAATTTGAGTTTAGGAAGAACAAACCTTTCAAAAACTACTTAGAAGAAACAAACGTGGAGCAGGAAAAATGGAGACAAAAGAGCAACAGAAACTAAGGAGAGAGAATGTTTCTCTTAATGTTCTTTTTTTGACATGCCTGTATTCCTCACACATGGAAAGTGAAGCAGGAGAATGAGGAGTTCTAGGTCCTCTTTGACTGTGATTTCAAGGGAAGCCTGGGCTACGAGAGGCTCTGACTCAAAACAGACAGACAAACAACAAAAGGTTGACAGGCTAATGTAGGATTTATTTTCTTCAGATAATTACTTAATTGTTCTGGCCCAGGCATCAGTACGTAAATTTTTTCTCCTGTTTCTAATGTGCAGCCAAGCTTGGTAACATTGCTCTAAGGGTATGTGGGTGGTACTGGAGGTGATTTAACACTATATAGAAAGCAAAGCACTTTTAGTTGCTCTTTGACAATCCAGCATAGCAAGAGAAAGGTTGGGAATTGAAGAGGGATATGAAGGGCCAGAAAGATGGCTCAGTGAGCACCAGTGCTTGCCATGCAAGACAGACAAGGTACACATGTGTGCGCACACACACGCATAAAAATTAAACATTTTATTAATTCAAAATAAATTTTGCATGTATGAATGTATTGCTTACATATATGTAAGTGCATCCATGCCATGCAATGCCCATGGAGCTCAGAAGAGGGCATCAGATCCCCTGGAACTAGAGTTAAGGAAAGTTGCTGGCTGCTATGTGGTTGCTGGGAACCAAGCTCAGGTCCTCTGCAAGAACAGCCAGTGGTCTTACCTTCTGAGCCATCTCGCCAGTCCCAGAATAAACATTTTTAAAAAGGGGTATGCAGAGCTTTAAGCCTTCTTTTTGAGGCCTTTGTACTCTCCTTGACTAGAACTGTGGCAAAATAGTCAAGAGCACATAAAGGATATACTGTATCTTGAAAAGGGATTTCTTTTTCCTTATACAACAGGATATAATACTACTAATTAGATAAAGCAAAAACTTTTTGTTATTTTGAAGCAGAGTCTTTCCTCAAAGAGTCTGCCCAGGCCAGCCTCTAACTCATGATTCTCCTGCTTTAAGCCTCTAGAATACTAGGACTGCAGTTGTGTCACATATGGCCTTTTTTTTTTTTAATTAGTGGGTGAAGAGTGCTATCTCATAGTTTTGATTTGTCATCTCCAAATGATTCATGATCATATATTAATATTCCATTGGACATACCTTCTCCAGAAAAATATATGTTCAAGTGTTTATCCTTTTTTGACAAGACCACCTCACACATGCTGGCCTGCAGCTCACTATGTAGCCAAGCAGCCCTCTTGCATCACCATCCCCAGTGCTAGGATTACAGGTCTGAGTCACCATACCCAGCTTGCCTATTTTGAAATTGGATTGTCTTTTGGGTTTTGAGTTATATGAATTTTTTTTGAGACAATGTTTTGCTGTGTAACTTATGCTGGCCTCAAACTTGCTATGCAACCCAACCTAGCATTGAGCTGTAGATCCTCATGCCTTAGCTTAATAGAATTCTGGGATTACGGGTGTGCCCATCCACACTGGCTTATTATTTCTATATAAATTCTAGCTATATACCTCCTTAATAGATATGATTCATATTAGTATATGATTTGTATACATTTGTCTTCTTCCTTCTGAAAAATCTTTGTGTTGTGTGTATGCAGGTGCCTATGTATGTTTGTGTGGGGGGGAGTGAGCACCTATAAACACATGGGGAGACCAGAAGTCAGCTTAGGATATCATTCCTCAGGAGGTGTCCACCTCATTTTATGAGACATGGTCTCCCACTGACACTTGGGTCTGGCAGATTAGGCTAGGCTGGCACCTCAGAGGTCCCGTCTCTGAACACCCCTCCCTATGCCACAGCACTGGGATTACAAGACTGCGCCACCACACCCATCTTTTCACACAAGTGCTGGGAATAGAACTCAGGTCCTCTTGACTGACAGGAAGCATTTTATCATCTCCCTACCTCTTGAAAATCTTGATAATGAATACCTTTGTTGCTTAGGCATAAGGCTTACAAAAAACTCATTATAAAAGATGTTGATATTTCTTTTTAAAAATTTTTTGTTTTAAAATTGTGTGTGTGTGTGTATGTGCCGCTGTATTCATGTGGCAGTCAGAGGACAACCTGTAGGCATTGGTTCTCTCCTTCCACCATGTAGGTCATGGGGCTCAAACTCAGGTCATTAGGCTTGGCAGCAAGAGGTTTTAGCCACTGAGCCATCTTGCCGGCCCAAGACACTTGATATTTCTTAAACTGAATGGTAGGTACATGGATGAACTTTTAATTCACATTTATTTATTTATTTATTGTTTATTTAATTATTTAATTAATTAATTAATTATTTATTTATTGGTATTTTTGAGACAGGGTCTCCCTGCAACCCCAGCTGGCCTGAGACTTGCTATATAGACCAGGCTAGCCTCAAATTCCCTTCTGCCTGCTTCTGCCTCCCATTAATTCATTTTATCACTTAACAAATGGGTTAGATTCAGTTTTAAGTGTATTCTTGCATATATTTCACATAAAAAAATTTAAGCTAGGTGTAAATGGTGCATGCCTTTAATCTCAGGAAGCATAGGTATCCGAATATCTGTGAGATCCAGGTGAGCTGGGGCTATAGGGAGACCCTGTCTCAAAAACAAACAAAAAACGAACAACAACAACAAAAACCCCACAAACAAAACAAAAGAAAAATGTAAAGGCTTAACGATACTGTTTCACTAAATTATTTCCTTTTCCTATTTCTGTCCTTACTTTCGCAGATAGTTACAGAATGAATGATCTCTATTTGCTGCTTCATCCTATCACATTGATGCCTCTTTAATCTTTTTGACTACAATTTCATGGTCCTTTCAGAAATACCACACTTTTGGGTCTCTCCTCCTACCCTAAACTCATCCTTCTTCGAAGGTAATGTCACTCATGATTCACCTTGGTGTATTACGTAAAAAGCTCCTTAACCATACCTGAACCCTAACCTAAGTTTCCGAACTCTCACTATATGCTAATTCGATTGTCTTGTTTTACTAGATGTTTTCCCCTTATCAAAATTTTCTAATTTTCTGTTTTTTCATACCACATCAGCTTTAGCCTCATAGCTTTGCAATTACTGGCGTCTCTGCTATCGTTCCTGTGGCTAGTTATCTGTCTTGTTATTTGTACATTAAATCATTTCATTGCCACTTCGGTCATCACCCTATTTTAATCCATTATCACAGGTTGCTGTAATTATTAATAGTCCTTCTCTGCCTGACTCCGTTCCATCTCCATACACGGGTAACATCAGAACAAACGTGCTGAAAATTGGTACTAGGTAAGAAGATAACTGCGGTGAGTGTGGAAGATGAGGTGGAGAAGGTAGGCTGCTGGCATGGGACCATGAGACCCTGAACTGGGGCAGTAAGGCTTCCTCACCGTGGATGCAGAAGAATGTAAAAAGTGCTGATCGGTGACGGGGGACTTGAGCTTATTTCGCTCTCACAAATCAACGACGTCAAGCGACTTTTCGCTAAGCAAGCAATACCCCGCTTCTGCTAAGAACTGTCACCCTGAGAGCGCCAACCAGCCTCCTCCTCCCAAACTGCCGATCCCAGATCCGCCTCCAGGGTCTCTCTAGCCGACGTCTCTATGGTTCGGGGACGCTCCGGGTCGCGGCTCGACAGGTCCTGCTCTTGCGCGTGCGCGAGCCCAGCGCGTGCCCGCCCTCTGGCAACTGCCCCAGCCGGCGGGTGGGAGGGGTAGGTGTGGGAACGTTGCGGCGGTGGCCCCGGCCCTGGCGCTCTGGGCGGTTCTGGGGCCAAGCCTGCGCGGGGTAGTTCTCCACCTCCTCGGGCGGCGGTCACCGGCCCGCAGATGATGGGTCCCGAGGAGGTCGGAGGGGGCTCGGGAGGAAACGCCAAGTTGCTCCTGGTCTCGGCTCCGGAGCCCGCGGGTCAGGACGGGAAGATGTTCGCGGCCACGGGCGGCTTTGGCGGAGGTTCTGTCGCTGCGGCGCTGCCCGAGGAGGCTAGGGAAGAAGAGGCAGAGACGCCGCCGCCGCGGCTCCTCCAGCGCTACTTCGCGGCGGCAGGCGGACAACTGGAGCCGGGGCTCTGGTACCGCCCCCGCCCCGCTGGCCTGGCCTGCGCCCCAACGCCCCCGGCAGCCTGGCGCTCGGAGCTGGAGCGCTCGGACCCCTGCTCGCCGGACTGGGGCTGCGGGCGCGGCGGGGTGGGAGCGGCGTGCCGGCCGAGCATGACCAACGGGGACTCGAGCTTTCTGCTGGGCCGGGACTGCGACGACCCGGAGGGGGTGCGCGGGCTTGCTGGCGCCGGGAACCCCGAGACGCGCGGCTGCCGTCTCGTCGGCCACCACCGCCTGGAAGGGCCTGGTGACGAAGGCGTGGACGGCGCGGGCCTCCGGGACGACTGGGCCGCGCCGCTCGAGGACCCGCTGCGGAGCTGCTGTCTGGCTGCCGCGGACTCCGCAGACCTCCGGGGCGCTGGCAGCGGCTCAGCGGACAGCGAGGACTCGGAGCGGAGAGCGGGGTCGGGGGAGGGCGCGCCCCTCGCCACCTCGGCCCCCGCCCCCGCCGCCGGGAGGACTCGTGAGGGCGCGGAGCGCAGCCCCGGCTTCCCCGACGCCCACTTGAACTCTCGGAACACGTTCGAAGTGAGCCGCCGCCAGAGCGCCGGCGACCACCTGCCCCCGGCGGGCCAGCCCGTGTCCTCGCCCGCTGCGGAGCAGGGCCCGGCCGGGACTACCGCCCGGGCTCGACGGAGCGGCGGCTTCGCGGACTTCTTCGCCAGGTAGGCGCGGACTCGGGTGGGGCCGGGCGGGGAACTGGCGGAGCGCGGCTCGGGAGGCTGCTTCGCTACCGGCCCCGGGCGCTTCGGGACCAAGCTCTGATTTGTGCCTGGGGAAGAGGAACTGGGTCGGCTTTGTGTTTCGGGAGTTGTGAGCAAACCTTCCTGTACACGCGGGGTCACACCTGGTTTCTGGGTTTCCAGGTCTGACCGGCCGCCTAAGTGTCTTCACTCCTTCACTCGTCTCTTCCGCTGTAGCAGATAACCAGCCCTCTATTTCTTTTAATTGTATTGCAGGGATTTGGGTGGGGTGCGAGGGGGGCGGTTGTATTCTTAAGAGGTGTGGTGTGGAAGAGGAAGTTGTGCTGAGTTTTCATTTGCTTGGTCCCTAAACCCATTCATTTAGTTTGGAGATTCTTATATTTAAAAATAAATTTTTTTGTGTGTATGGGAGGGCGGGGATGTCCAGGGACCCAACTCAGGTCTTCGAGGCTTAATGTCAAGTACCTTTACTCGCAGAATTATCTCACCATCCTAGTTTGGTAATTCTTGAAATTAAAAATAATTGGCTTTTCATATGAAACAAATACTAGCCTTTACTAAAATGCATTCCAAGTCGGGAAAATACACTTGTAATCCCTGTACTGAGAACAATGAGGCAGGAGGACTGTCACAAGTTCCAGGTCAACCTGTGTGCTACATAGCTTAGTCCAGATCAGTCATGGGCTATGTAACAAGACCCTGTCTTTAAAAAAAAAAAAAAAAAAAAAAAAATGAAAAATCAATCAGTTTGGTGTTTAGAATTCGATCCAATCTTTAACTCAAGTTACTATAGTACTCTAAGAATTGGGAAATCCCTTTTTTTCACCCAGGACCTTGTACATGCTAGACAGGTAGCCTATCAACGGTTCTACATCCCCAGCCCTCAACAAGTGTGTGTGTGTGTGTGTGTGTGTGTGTGTGTGTGTGTTGTACTGAGTCACTTAATTATTGAGATTTTAGGTTTTGTGGGCATGGAGTGCTGGAACACTAGTTTTCTGGAAAGGTGTTTCTTTCCTTTTTCCCCTGTCACTCTGCTAAGAAGGTCCAGCTATGTTGCTCAGGCTGGCCTTAAACTCCCTGTCCTCCTTCCTGCCTTAGCTGGAATCCTCCTGCCTTACCTCCTCTGGATTGCTGGGGTAATTTTTTGGCCTGGTGCCAAGAGGCCAAAAGAGGGTGTTGGATCCCTGGCACTGGAATTATAGATGGTTGGTTTTAGCCACCATGTAGGTGCTGGGAACCAAACCCAAGTCCTCTGCAAGAGCAGCAGGTGCTCTTAACCCTAACACTGAACCATCTCTCTAGCCCCTCAATTTGAAATATTCTTTAAATTGTGGTGCTGGACTACAGATTTCAGAATGAGACTTTGCTCGCATACTAGGGATAGAGAAGTAGTGACAAAATATTTTAATGCATGTTGCTGAAAAAGCAAGTTTCCTTTCAGTCAGATTTGACTCCGTGTTTTTTTTTTTTTAAGATTTTATTTTTTATTTTGTGTATATGAATGTCTTGCCTACATGTATGTATGTGTACCACATGTGTGCCTGGTGCTCTCAGAGGCCAGAAGAGGGTGTTGGATCCCTTGGAACTGGAGTTACAGACAGTTGTAAGTCCCCATGTGGGTACTGGGAACCGAACCTGGGTGGTCTGCAAGAGCAGCCAGTGCTCTTAACCATTGAGCCATCTCTCCAGCCCAACTCACCTTTTTCTTTTAATCTCTAAGCAAATAGAAAAATTCCCAACTTTAAAAATCTTATCTTTCAGTTTTTCTTGTTTTCATTCCCTTGTATAAATTACAAATTAATTATAAAGATCTTTAAATTAAAAATGGAAAATCCTAATTTTATATTAGGTCACAGAACAAAATACATAGTAGTGAGAGCTGTATTTGTGCCTATAATTGCAAAGATATATTTATTTAGGGGCTGGAGAGATGGCTCAGCAGTTAAGAAAGATCACTGGCTGCTTTTGTAGAGGACTGGGGTTTGGTTCCTAGCATTCACATAGCATTTAACAACCATACATAAATCCAGTTCTAGGGTCTCTGATACCCTCTTCTGGCCTCCATGGGCATTGCATGCATGGTGCACTTACATGTAGAAGAAACACTCATACACATAAAAATAAAATTTTAAATATATATGTATTTATATTATTAGGCAGGCCGTGGTGGGACATGTCTTTAATCCCAGCACTTGGGAGGCAGAGGCAGGTGGATCTTTGTGAGTTCAAGGACAGCCTGGTCTACATAGGAAGTTCTAGGTCAGCTGGACTCTGTCTCAAAAAGACTATCTATATCTATATCTATATCTATCTATATATCTATATATATATATATGTATGATTTTTTTCTTGGTTTTTGGTTTGTTTGCTTGAGACAGGTTATCATTGTAGCTCAGGCAGGCCTGGAACTTTCAGTCTTCCTATCTCAGCCTCTTGAGTGCTGGGATTACAGGTGTGAACCACCACAGCCTACTTGGAAAAATATTTTTAAAGCTTGAAGTGATAACACTATACAAGACCTCAAAGTTAGTTAAGTGTATACATTTGTGACACCTAGTAGTCTCTGTTTGTTGGCCATTATATCTGTCTTGATCATGTTTTGAGGTGAAGTGTCAGACAATTTTTAGATCTGCAAGGGCTTTGGTGATCACCAGTCTAACCAGTATATCCTGAATGCTTGTTGTGTGCCAAGAATTGGGAATAGACATGATTTAAACTGTACTCTCTGATCTGGCTGGTGGAGATTAAAGTTGGAAAACAGATTTGTAAATCTGTAGTGCAATTTGTGAGCAATAAGAAGGCAAATCTGCATTAGGGGCCTCCATCTTGTTAGCAACAGGCAGAAGTTTTCGTCAAACTTTAAAACTTCCTTTCACCTAGGAATTTTATTCATGTGGCTAGATTTCATTCATGCGGCTTTATTTGTATCAGAAAACGGGTTGTGTTTTTGCTATGTATATGCATGTGGTGTGAGTGTATGTATGTTGCATGTACAAATGCATGTAGTGCAGGTGCATGTGTGTTTGCATGTATGTTGCTGGGTGGAAAGGCCTGAAGTTGATGTGGGATGTCTTCCTCAGTCACTCACTACTTAATATGTTGAGACAGCATCTCTTAGTTGAGCCCCGACCTCACTGAATATGGCTGGTCTGGCTAGCCAGCTTGGTCTGGGGATTCCCTGTCTCAGCTTCCCAAGTGTTGGGATTACAGGTGGGCCACCACATCCACCAAGCCTTTATGTGGGTTCTAGGGGTGTGAACTCAGATCCCCTGTCTTGAATGACGAGTGCTTACCAGCTGAGCCATATTCCAGTCCCAAAGAACTGGATTTAAAGTTTGAAAACTAAACAAAGCAAAAAAACCCAACAGCAACTTAAGCACTCTAAAGCTATTTTTTTTTTAATTTTTGAGGTTTAAAACAATTTTTTACTTTGTTGTGAGTGCGTGTGTGTGTGTGTGTGTGTGTGTGTGCATGCATGCACGCTTGCAAAGGCACATGTCAGGATTCTAGACGTCATTGCTCCTTTACGTGACCTTCTTTAGATAGGGCAGAGTGAGAGGTACATTCTTTGTCATAGTGTTTAAGTAAAACCATAACTGGGTTTTGGACATCCTAAAGGCAGCACTATGACATTCATCTCTGAATATGCAGTATCTAACACTGATACAAAGAACTCCATTCAGGTTAGGGTAAATTGGCAACTTTCATGAGTCCCCTTCTTTACTGTTCATGGAAGAGTGTAATTTTGAAAAAATCTTCAGTCCTTAGGCAAAAAGATCAGAAAGTACCCATTGTCCCAGCAACCCAAGATTTTTTTTTTTTTCTTTTTCTGTGCACAGTTGTCTCTGTCAACTCGGACGTTCTGGGTAAGGGCTACTTTTGGGATCTGCTTGCTCTGGATGGATTCTTATTCTTTGGTGTACCCTTCTCTGACTTCATTCTCTACATGAAGAAGCTCACTATTTAAGCTTCTGTCTCAAAAAAGGCATTTCAGTTAGCTAGTGGCAACTAGGGTTATAAACTAAGATTCCTGCTTGCCAGTTTCTGTTTATGTTGTTACCAACTTTATTATATTTTATACCTCTTTTCTGTTTATCCTCTTTATTTCCCTTCTTCCCTTCCACTTCTTTTTCCCTTAGAGAAAAATCTTTAACAAACATTTAAAAACGTTTCATGGTGGTTCATGCTAGTAATCCCAGGGGAAGCATTTTATGGCAGTTTATGTATTTCTACAAAGTGTCATATTCAGTTAGGACACATCATTGTTAGGAGCTTCAATGACTAGGATAGAAATCATTTAAAAAAGACAGGAACTTGTTTAGGTAGACTGCTCTCACTCTGGAGGGTGTCAGTCCCTGTTAGGAGCTTGCTTTAGCTCTGCCTTACCACCTCTCTGCTTGGGGTAACTTTGCTGTGGGAGCCCTAGAAGTCTATCCCTCAGATTGTTGCCGCTTTCCTGTTCTGTAAACATTGAAATGCTATATAGGTACCACTAACCTACGTTGTTCACCAACTAAACAGTGAGGAGTGAAAACCTTTTTATTTCATTTTTGATTAAGTTTGAGACAGGATCTTAAGCTGCTTGGAACTTGCTGTGTAGATGAGGTTGACGTTGAACTCCTGTTTCTCTTACCTCTACTCCCAATTCACTGAGATTATAGACCTGAGCTACTATGCCCATCTCAAAGGAGTGAAAGCTTTTTGAAACTTCTTGTGCTCAAGAATCTGCCCCTCCTCCCCCACTTTCTTCATTTTCTCTTTCTTAAAAATTAACTTTAAACCAGGTGTGGTGGTGCACACCTTTAATCCCAGCACTTGGGAGGCAGAGGCAGGAGGATTTCTGTGCATTCAAGGCCAGCCTGGTCTACATAGTGAGTTCTAGGACAGCTGGGGCTACAGGGAGACTCTGTCTCAAAAAAGACCCCCCCCCAAAATTTAATCCCCTGTTTCAAAAAGACCAA